TGCCTTTCTTGTTAGCACCACGCATACTATATCTATATATATAATAATTATTATTCTATTGAAAAAGTTATATATTAGTGATATAAATTTGGCAAAAAAAGGAAATGACAATTGAATCGAGACATCTTTTACGCATAGATTAATCATAATATTATAAATATTAAATATACACTATAGTATGCATTAAATAAATGTACGTACCATACCATACCATACCATACATTCCATATTTCTTAATTTAAATATAAAAAAAAAAAAAAATTAATTAGTGATCTTGTCCAACAATAACACAGTAAATAAATATGGGCATTAGCATCTACGGGATTTTGGCGGCACCAAAATCGCACCTCGACTCCTCCGTTTACCACCACCTTAATTCCCCCTTTTCCCCTATAATCTAGGTTTCCGATTCCCTCAATCTCTTTCCCATTTTTTCTTCTTCTCGAATCTCCACAGCAATTATACTACTACTATTATTCTCTATTGGATTCCCCAATTTTTTTTAAATTTTTTTTGGAAATGGAAATGGAGGAATCTGAAAATCCATGGCCCAGCCTCTTGTGTGAAGAAGAAGAAGACTCGTGTTTGACGGAACAGCACTCCGGAAACTTTGATTTTTGTTCTGTTTCTGAGTCGGAATCGGAGTATGTTGAAATGTTAATCGAGAAAGAGACGATCTTTGAGCCAAACAGCGACGAATCTTCACTCGGGAGTGATGGAATCTGGTTGAAATGCGCACGTAGGGATGCCGTCAAATGGATTCTTCACGTCTGTTTCCTTTTTATTAACTGACTTTTTCTGCATTTAATTTTATATATTGCTGTAATTTTAATTTTAATTTTAATTTTAATTTTAGTATTGAAAGAGTGTTTTTTTTTTATGCTTGTTAACAGACTAGGGTTCTCTTTGGATTTCACTTCCACACGGCGTATCTATCGCTGATTTATTTCGATCGGTTCTTTTCGAGAAGGTCGATTGATGTAAGTAACTGATATGTGATTTTCACTATTTATGTTTGTACATTTGTGTAACTTGGGATTTTTTGTTATTGATGTTTTGATAGAATGGAAAGTTATGGGCTATTCGATTATTATCCGTCGCCTGTTTGTCGTTAGCTGCAAAAATGGAGGAATGCCAAGTGCCTGCTTTATCCGAATATCATGTCGACGAATACAATTTCGAAGGGAGTGTGATACAGAGAATGGAATTGATAGTGTTGAATACGTTGGAATGGAAAATCAGCTGCGCCACTCCTTTTGCTTATCTAAACTATTTCGCCACCAAGTTCTGTGGCAAATCGAGTCGTATAGATCTGATTAATCGAGCGGTTGAATTGATCTCGGCATTAATGGAAGGTAAGTTATAAAGATTTATTATATCTGATGATTGTTTTAATTCAAGAAGTTTTTTTACTTAATCGCTCGATTTGTTTGGTGCAGAAATTAATGTGGTCGAACACCGGCCATCAATTATTGCAGCTGCTGCAGTTTTAGCAGCTTACGATTATCGCTTAACCGAAAAAGTAATTGAGATTAAGACGAATGCAATCCCATCATGGGGGCCCCTAGAAAAAGTGAGTTTATAATGGTGTAGCAAAAGATTAAGCTACTTTTTTTTTCTCCTACTAATTAACTTCAAAACATTATTCAATTCATTGGCAACAGGAGCACACTTTCTCGTGTTATAGTATGCTGCAAGAAATCGGGATGTCGAAATCCAAGACGTCGAAATTGATTAATTCGTCGAGTTTACTATCATCCCATTCAAGCTCCATCGACATTCTTGACCACTCGATAATCACATCGAGAGTCGGCAATAAAAGAAGGCTTACACATATCAGTGGCGATCAATATTGTTCTAAGCCCAAGATTCCTAAATCGTAAGGAATCGGAGCATAATCTTTTATTAAGGAGATGGTTCGTGTAATTTGCAGATAATATTGGATTAAGTTTCTTTAATGGAGTTCTCTTTGGGGGAGGGCTCCATTTTTGCAGCATTGAGCAAATGCCAATAGTGAAAGGTGGAATTAGCACAAATAAAGAGGAGTATATACCTTTTTTTGCTTACAAGTGATGAGTAAGGTAAAAAAAAAAAGCCGGTTGTTGAGGGAGTGAGAGCCAAAGGATTGATTTTTTTAATTTTTTTTTAAAAAATTCTCGTAATTTTGCTTCGTTGCAAAGTCGATTCTTTTGAAGTGATTTTTTTTTTTTTTTTTGCATGTTTATGTTTTTATATTTTTCAACATTGTTGTTGAAAGAGCCATTGAGATGCTTTCTTTCTATGCAATATTTTTCAGAAGGCAATGGTGGGGGAAATAAGGAATGAGAGATTGTTTCTTGTTTGATGTGATTTATCAGTGTGGCATTTTGGTTGGCTTTTGTTTGAGCTTTTCAAAATGGTAGGGGCACTTACTATACAATGTGTTACTATAATACATATATATTTTATATTTAGGTTAAACTACGATGCCGATGTATGGTTAAATTACGGAAAAAAAAACCCTCTTGTTTGGGTAATTACATATACTCCTAAACCATCAATCTTCTTACACGTCTACTCTTATGATATCAAATTCAACATAATTTTCTAAATTCCGTGGAATATTCTGTAGTTTGTACTTGTTTTGTGAAAAAACCCAGTTTCTGATACGCCACAATCTGATATTTAGAAGCTAAGAGACACATCCTATGATCATCTTGTTTCAAAATGTGGAGCTCGAATGGGGTAAAACATGTACAAACTGAAGAATATTCTACTAAATTTGATAATACAAGGATGAACGTGTAAGAAGATTCATAGTCGATGGGTGATTGTAATTATCCAAATATAATAAGTTTTTTCGTAATTTGAACTTACCTCGATGGCTGTAAATACCCCATACATGTATATTCAAGAAAGCAAGTTTTAAATAACTATCTAGGATTATAGTTTTCAAATGATAGTCTGTCATAAACACACACATACGCACTATGTTCTATGTAATATTTTTACATGTACATACATTCAAGAAAGGTGAGAGATTTATATATCTGGTCAAATGTTTGATGGTGAAAAGTACTGGCAGGCCTATCCCTTCATCACATGCTTGCCCTCAGTACATAGTTTGTCCAGTCTGTATATATATATATATATATATATATATATATATATATATATATATATATATATATATATATATATATATATATAAAAAAATATATGTGTGCGCCTCACTCACTTAGAATCACCCCCCCCGGGATATCATTCTGCAGACACAGATCTGCTGCTTGTCAAAAATTGTGGCCCACCAGTTTGTGTGTGTAACAAATATGCTAGCGCACTCTTTTCACCTATGTAGATGAGTATATCGATGTTTGGATGAGTTTCATTTTTTTTTTCTTATTAATTTATTTTTTCTTTGAAAATATTGAGAAGGAAATTGTATAAAACTATAAAATTGTTTTGATTATTTGTGATGAGATACTGAGATATATATACGCAACTTAAAAATATGATTGCTTTCTAGAAATTGTATATTTGCGTGGCCATTAGTTGGTATTATGGGTGAAAATTGGAAAGGAATTTTCGATTTACGACGATCATGATCCAATTTTTTTTGATTTTGGAACAATATTTTTCATTCCAAATTTCAAGTTCTGATTTTTCCGAAATTATTTGGATAAGAATTGGAATATATATCAGATTCCGATTTTCGATCCGATTTGAAGTTCTGAAGGTACACTTGAAATATTAATATTATTATGTATTTTATATTTTAAGTGCCAAAAACTGGAAATTTTTTGAATTTCGACAACTCCGCTCTGAATTTTTTTCCATTTTGAAAAAAGTTTTTTAATTCCAATTTTCGATATATTTTAGAACAGTATTGGAACTAGTTTTCACTTAAAAAAAGAAAAATCGGAATTTTTTTGAAAGGGCTAATTTCGATATCCGTCCGATTTACACCTACATTAGGATTTTTCGTGAATTTCTATTTGTAAAAAAATGTTTCGAAAATCATATCTTGAGTATAGATTATATATTTGATTTTTAAGTTGGTGCATATATTTAAATTTAAAATAAAATAAATTATTTATGTTAAATCAAAAATAAAATTGGATCGGCCCATAAATTTTGCCAAGCAAAAAATTATCCGGAGAACAGATTTGACCGCCAAAACGAGATTCAAATATTCAAAATGTTACGCCACACGCCTGTGACCTACGAATGTAACAGACAAATCCAAACCCACTATTTATTGGGTGAGCGGGAATTGATATTACATCTCATTCGTCTGTCATGCTGTCACCCAACCCAATCACAACAAAACCCTCAAATTGAAAACTAACGGCACAGTATTCTGGAAAAATCGAACTCAAACACTAATGGAGAAAAGACTCCGGTCGTCGCTGCAAACCTCCGCCGAGGAATTCCTCTCCTCCGCCGCCAAATTACCCTACAAGTCCTCCAAATCCGCCATCAAAACCTTAATTAACACCTCAATTAAACCATCCTCCGATCTAAGTTCCACTCTCCCCATCTCTCTTTGCGACGCCGTTTCACACGCCATTTCCCAATTCCAGAATCTATCCACCTCGTTCTGCACGGGTTCCCCGTTAACGCCTCCGGCGAAGCGCGTCCGCAGATCCGCCCGTAACAAGAAAGACGACTGCGCGTCTCCCACACAGCGCCAGGAAAATGAGAGACAGCGTATCTCCGAAAAGCTCCAGGTTTATACCTACATCTTGCACCTCTGCGTTTTCCACCCTAGAAACGTGTTCTCCGTTTCTGAATTGTTGCCTGCAGCTAAAGAGTTGCATGATAACCTGTTCCTGTTCGAGTCTGATTCGGTTTTGCTGTCGGAGATTGCTAATTTATGTGAAGAATGGTGGAAAGGCGGTTTATTGGGGAAGGAAACCTTAATTTCTCAGTCGTTGGCTGTTATTCTATCGCGCTCCTTGACTTTGAACAAGAAAGTGGATGTTCACAGAGTTTATACCGTTCGTGATGCTTTATCGCTGTTTGATTTTGAGGATGAGAGTATCGAGGACTTGAAAAATTTGCTGATTCGGTGTGTGATTTCACCTTTGTATTTGAAAACAGAGGAGGGTAGAAAATTTGTTGCTTTCTTGTTCAGTCTCAGTGTGCAGCTCACGAAAGAAATGTGTGCGATGATAAAATCACAGATCCCATTTGAGCGTAAATCGATCTTGGAGGCGTATGGTGAAATTGTTTTTCGAGCATGGAAGGCAGAGGAAGCCAAATGCAAGGATGAGATTGAGAACGGGTTTTTACAAGGGTTGGTCGAAAGTGCTGTGTATGCCAGCTCTGCAGCATTAGCAGCATCAATTAGAAGGATTTTATGCGGTTTTGTGAATCAACGAACCACAGAGGGAGTAGAGAAACTATTCTTTTGTCTGGCAGAACCAGTGATTTTCCGATCCCTACAGGTACTATAATCTGTGTTTTCATCATATTGAAGAAAGTAGTTGAATAAACTTTTGTTAATAGTGAGAGTATCTGTTTTTACAAACCAGTGAAGCGTCATTCGGCAGTGCTTTACAAATTCCTGAATCTACTCCAGTGTTGCATATGACCCTTTAAAATTCAACCCCAAGTGTAAAGGTCTCTTTGATTTTTCACAAATTAAATATTTGAAGTTTACTTTCTCATATTAGTTTCCAAGTAAATGTCTGATATTCAACCGATGATGTGAAAGTTGACGAGTGTTGGAACAGCAAAGACATTATCCTGCTCAGTATTTTTTATTTCCCTCTCCAATTTATGGTTATTCTATATTTCAGTTTTCAATTAAAGCATGACTCAAGAGAATTTTCTTTTGGTCTACTTTTCGCAAGATAATTATGTTCTTTGAAAAAACAAATAATTGCACACTACAAAGATACTGATGTTTACATTTCTAAATGTTGCAGGTTGCAAACTCAAATGTTCGTCAAAATGCATTGCACTTACTTTTGGACCTGTTTCCTTTAGAAGATCCCGATGCCACCAAGGAGGCTAAAGATATGCTACTAGAAAAGCAATTCTTTCTGTTGGAAAAATTACTTTTGGATGAATGCCCAGAAGTGAGAGTTGTGGCTGTAGAAGGCTGCTGTCGAGTTCTTCATATGTTCTGGGAAGTTATTCCTTCACCAACAATTACAAAGATTATTTCAATTTTTTTTGAAAACATGTCTCTTGATGCTTGCACAGAGGTCAGACTCTCTACAGTCAGTGGTATTATATATTTGCTCGGCAATCCTCAATCTCATGAGGTCCTTAAAGTGCTCTTACCTAGATTGGGCATACTTATTATGGATTCTGCGTCAGTAGTGCGTGCAGCTGTCACTGATCTCCTTCTTCTCTTGAAGGACATTCGAAATTTTCACTTCCATAAGGTAATCAGCCCTATACACTGAACTCTCTCATTTTTTGTCCCTTTTTATGATCTTTCTCGTTCTACCCTTTTCGTTTTTCTTCTTCAGATAGTGGGACTAGATGTACTATTATCAACTCTTGCTGATGACCAACCAAATATTGCAAGGAAAATCACAAAACTTCTTCTACCATCGTATTTCCCCTCTAAAGTGACGGAAGAAGAAGCTTGTAAGCGCTGTATTACTCTTATCAAAAGGTCTCCTACAGCCGGGGCAAGATTCTGTGAGTTTGCAGCATCGGAAGGAGCGTCGCTTAAATCTCTTATGAAACTTTTTAATGTTCTTATCGGTTTGACTTTGTCATCTGTTAAGCTTGATGATGAGCAAATTGAGGGTTTACTTGTTTCCGCCTCTCACCTCTGTACGGATCTTGCAAAGGAGGCTTCTTTCCTCGCTGCTCTCAAGGAGGAGTTGTCTGCTGAAAAGCTGAAGACTCTTTTCGCAGTTGCTTCTACTGCACGTGCTCAATCTTCGATATGCCACATCATCTCAACCACGTCCCTAGATGCAGTAGGTGACTTTTTTGGAGATTGTCTCGGCTTTATTACTAACTGTAGTGGTTTATCAGACAATATTGAAATGCAAGCTCAAGTGAGCTCCGCCCACAAGATTTTCTTGTCGTGTGGTTGGTTTGATGACATGTTTGAAGCTCTGGTTGGGTTTCTGCAAGGAGTTGCCTATGGATGCCATGTCAAATTTGGAATAGAATTAGGGAAACAAAGGGCAAGGTCGGCAATTAGAATGAAAACTAAATCTTCCTTGAAAATATCGTCAAAGGCGAAACAGAGCAATCGGAAGAAGTCATCTAACACTGGCGAAGATAGATTTCTGGAAGATTATGCAATTGCCGTTGGAATAGCATGGCAAATAAAGGACTTACTTCTGTCTGAAAATACAAGGAATGCTATGTTCGGTTCTCGAACTTTGGAAAGTGCATACTTAGCACTGAAGGTCATTTCTGAAGCTAGTGTTGTGCATTGCCTTCAGTATGATTATTTCAACACATATCCTGTTTCTGCATACACAACTCTGTCCCTGCATATGGCTCTTCATAACATTAAAACCGGAAGCAAAAATTCTACGCAGGCAAGTGATATTCTCATCTACTGCCACTTTAACGAAATTCTAAAATAATTCTGTTCAACATAAGAAAATGTGATGTTACTATTTCATATCACGAAAATTTATGTATCCTCGGCATCTTTATTATCAATCAACTAACAGTTGGTAACTAAAAATGTTTGTTGCTAATCTGGGCCCATCTCTTACCAGGCAACTACGATGGACTTGACGTTGGACCATCTTCTTCAATGCGCAGATAAAGTATTCAGTGCGAACAATAACAAAAAGTCTGAATTTCTTTCAGAATCTGATGGATGTCAAACTGGTACGTTCAACCTTGTAAATCATGGCGTCATCTTTTTGTACCCTGTTTGTTTCTCTTCTTCTTTCTGAATGTTGAGAGATTGAAAGAAGTTTCATATTTACACTTCGTGTTCTGTGGTCCTTGTAAATGCCATTCTGAAAATTATGATTATTTTCTTAGCTCCTTTTTTTTTTTTTTTTTTTTTAACGGTGATCCGTATTCAAGCTTGATAAATATTACGGTTGTTAAGATTAAGGTTATCTAACATACAATATATTTCCATTTAGCAGTAATGCAATATGGATATACTGCATCCTTATGTTATACCCTCTTCTTTTTTTTTTCATTTCTGCTACTGACATTAAAAGTGCCAATTTTTTGGATTGTTTTGCACAGATACCGGAATGATAAAACAAATTAGCATATCAACTACGGTGAAGACATTCACTGAAGTTCTCAAATTCATTGTTGACGCAACCGCCATGAATCTCACTCTGCACTATCAAGAAAGATGCTTGAATTTCACAACAGAAACTTTGAAATTCATCACCGCAAATTTAAGGGAACACGCTGTTGCTCAGCTGCAGTTAACAGAAGAAGACCTAAAAGATATATTTGTTTGTTTGAAAAGCTCATTCACATACGGGGCCAAGTTACTCAGTATAGTGCTCAAAACTCGTGAAGATTCATCATTACCTCAAGCAGAAGCTCACAGTCTGGTCAACGAACTGTTTAATCTCATCGTTTCAGTTGAAGAGTTTCTGGGATACGGATATGGAGCTCGTTTTATCACAGTTGTCCAGCCGTGGGTCCCTGATCTGATCCTTGCTTTGGGTTCTTCCTTCTTGCTGAAAGACACTCCTTTGGAGGTAGATACATACGAGAATGCCACATTCTCATCATGGTTTTCCATTTTAGCAAAGATTGAGCTCTATGAGCTGAGAGAAACGCACTCGGATGAGGAGGTAAGAAATACAAAGGATTTCGCTGCATTCAAGAGAATCGTGGAGGCAATGTGTAAGCTATTGAAATCCAATGAGAAAATACTCGATGCTGTGGGGGTAGTTTTCTTGAATTGTTCGCTAAATGCCTTGAAAAACAAGAACTTAGATATTCTCTTGGGCCTTGTGCATTTTGTCTGTGTAAAGCTAGTTGGGGCAGACGATGGTGAATGGAAAGAACTTAAGTTGATGTTGGCATCTCTTGGAGAGATATACTCTAAAGTGGGGATAGACGAAGCTGAGGAGATATGCGAGAGTGAGGAAGATAGACAAAAGTTATACAGTGCAAAGGCATTGCTTGAACCTGTTTGGACTTCTTTTATTTATAATGAAACGAGAGATTCGATGGACGAAGAATGAATCACCTGCCAATTGGAGCTATCCTATTGTGTGATTTTGCAATTATTGTTTATATAGGATCTATATTGAGACTTTTGAAGTTCAAAAAAATAACATTAACCGATTATCTGATGTTTTGCTGCACACTGTATAAACTTCTCTCTTTTTTTCTACAAATTCCTTTCATCCTATATATCTAACTCACGCAGGCGCACAAACGTGCACAGTGAATTGTTACTTCCTACATTCCTCCACCCTCAGCCAAATTTAAATGCATAAAAGGAAAAATAATATCTATCTGACAAATCATCTGCAAGTATTTTTAATTTTCCACAGGAAAATGCTGTTTCAAGATCACGGCAATTGGCATCCCCAAGAATCCGATGACAATGCTGACGAGCCATTGCATGAATGTGAGAGGAGTCGTGCTTGCAAAAGTTCCCAGGTATTCGATAATAATGATTTGAAACAGGACAGTGGCCCCCACAACCAACACAAAGACATAGTTGTCCAGTATTCCATCAAGAACGTCTATTTTCTCCATTTCTCGCGAGTTCACCTCGTTGAACAGCTGCAAAAATTCATCACGAATTTTCAGACAAGCAGGTTAGTAACTTTCTTAGTAAATTATGATGCCATCTTTTCAATTAAAATTTACCTGGCAGAAGACGAATGTATTGAAAATAATTGTGTTAAGGACCAAATCTGAGTCGGGGTAGCCATGAAGTCTGAAAATCGTCTTTCCGTGGGACTGAAGGAACCATATTATGAGAAACTGGTACAAGGATTGTCCTAGAATGTTCCTCCACATGACAACACTTATGAAGTTCCCTTTTCTTCCAACAGGGGCTCTCTTCATTAGTTCCTCATTAGGAGGCTCAGTAGCCAATGCAAGCGCGCCAAGTGTATCCATAATCATATTGACCCACAGGAGCTGAACAGCAGTAAGAGGAGCACTTCCTGAAATTAAGCACACATTAGTTTCAAGAACATGTTTTTTTTAAGGATAAAATCAGGGTTTTTATGTTCTCTTACCAGTCCTACAAGCTGAGTAGAAGTTGACAGCCAATGCAACAACATTAACAGTGAGCTGAAATTGGACAAACTTTTGAATGTTTACGTAGACCGACCGCCCCCATTTGGCTACAGTCACGATCGTGGAGAAATTATCGTCCAGAATAATGACATCAGCGCTCTCTTTAGCCACCTGAAAAATTCGTCCACAAAATGAAATTTTCATCGACGAATTATGCATGTATATATGCAGAATAGTTCTAAAGTTACCTCAGTTCCCGCAATGCCCATAGCAAGTCCAATATCTGCTTCATGAAGTGCAGGAGCATCATTTGTTCCGTCGCCAGTTACAGCCACAACTTCATTAAACGTTGTCCTAAGATGCTTCACTAATGTATGCTTGTCTAATGGCGACGAACGAGCCATCACCTGAGAAAAAAATTCCCATATATATATGTATATACATGCATATATTAGTATTGAGATGGTTAGTGTATTTATACCTGGATCTTGGGAATCAATTCATACAATTCCTCCAAACTCTTCTCTCGAAAAACGGGCCCTTCTATAGCTACACCATCATCTGTAAGTATCCCGCATTCTCTAGCAATAGCCTTTGCAGTATTAATGTTGTCTCCAGTTACCATACGTACAGTTACACCAGCCGAACGGCAAAGTGCAACGGATTCAGGTACTCCAGGCCGTACAGGATCCTTAATACCTACAATTCCTATACACACGTATCCGGAATCTGGAATGTCGTCTTTTATAGAGAACTCGCTTTCGAGTTCCATATAAGCAAGACAAAGTGTCCTAAGTGCCTCGTTAGCAAACTCATCAATGGTCCCCTTCAAGAGATTTACAGATGTTTCATCAAGGGGGACAACATTGCCTTCCGAATTGAGAACCTTATCGCATGCTGCAAGAATTATCTCCGAAGCACCTTTAGTGTGTGCTCTTAGCCCCCTTCCTTCCGGAAGCTCCAAAACGACCCCCATTCGCTTCTTTGTCGAGTTAAATGGCTCGACTTTAAGCACCTTCGATAATCCTCTCTCTGCCTGAAAATCCCCTCCGAGCGATAGACCGAACTCCAATATAGCGGTCTCCGTTGGAGTCCCGAGAATCTTGCGCTTGCCGCGCCTATTCACCACAACTTCTCCGCCCGTGTTGTTGAAAATTGACTCGAGAAGAATCTTCACAACTGAATCCGGAAGCTCCGAGGATATTCCGGAAGAGGAATACTTGCTTAAATCCTTCACACCCATGCAAATGCACGATTTCACCACGCTCATGCTATTCGTCGTCAGGGTCCCGGTTTTGTCACTGCATATGTTTGTGGCGGAACCCATCGTCTCGCAAGCCGCCAGGTGGCGCACGAGCGCCTTGTCGTTCATCATCTTTTTCATGGCAAAGGCGAGGCTCAACGTCACGGCCAGAGGGAGTCCCTCGGGTACCGCCACAACAACTATGGTTACTGCGATCGCAAAGTACTCAAGCAACTCCATCGCATCGTCACCCGACCATTTTAAGGTCGTCCCTTCTCCCCATTTTCTCCCGATCATTTTTTGAACCAAAACGGCGAAAGTCACCACAGCAAAGAAGAGCCCTATCTTGCCTATGATAGTAGCCACCCCGTTCAACTTAACCTGCAACGGAGTTTCGTCATCGCCTCCTTCACTCAACGTGGCCATTAGTTTACCCCATTGAGTCCTCATACCAACCGTGGTTACAAGCATCTTGCAAGAACCGTCCTGCACTTTCGTTCCAGATAGCAAAAACGGGTTCTCGGAAGTGATCATCACCGGCTCGCTCTCGCCAGTCAAACTCGACTCGTCGATCAAAACAGAGAACCCTGTTAGAAAGAGCCCGTCGGCCGGGACTTGATCCCCTATGGAGAGGTGCACGATATCCCCTGGAAGAAGATGGTATATCGACATCTTCTTCCTATAACCGTTCCTCGTGACTTGGATCGAGACCTTCTTCTTCTCCTTGTCCAAATCCTTGAACTGCAACGACTGCCTGTAATCACTAGTAGCTGTCACGAAAACAACAAGCAAGATGCTAGCAACGATTCCTAGGCCATCGTGGGCCCCCTTGGGCCATCCCTCGGTTAGTATCCCGACTATCAGGGAGACGAATGCGCACACGCCGAGGATCATGAGTGTCATATCTTGGAGGGCTTCCCACACGCACACCCGAAAGCTCTGGGGCTCGAGTTCTTCGAACTTGTTTGTGCCGTATAGTTCGCGGCGGCGGGTGAGTGATTCGGTGGTGATGCCGTTGGTGGGGTCGGTGGCGAGCTTTTGGGATATACCGTGGGGCCCGCCGTGGAATTTGAGCTTCTTGACGTCGTGGCCCTCCACTATGGACTCTAGTTCGTCGGCGCAGATTTGGAAACCGGCGGATTGGACTTCTTCCGGGACCGTGTAATCACTTGGCTGCATGCCTGTGTATCCCATATATTTTATTTTATTTTTTCACATGTGTATATGTATTTATATATATATATATATATATATATATATATATATATATATATATATATATATATTAGAGAAAATTACCTTGTATGAACTGAAATGCAGCTTTAGAAACGAGGACTGCAATTCTCAGTTTCTCCTGTCAATCATTAATCAAGATATAAATATTAATCATCAAACACATACTCTTAACACCCAATTTTTGTTTTTTTCCTAGATCCACTGTTGTGTTTTTTTTTTATTCATAATATTTGAATGATGAAGAAAAAAGTAGTAAAAAATGGAAAAAATCAAGAAAAAAAAAAGATAAGGTAATTGATTAATTAATTAAACCTGATTAGTTTTACGCATGGCAGCAGCCTCGTAACGCTTGGAAAGATTAGCGGTGAATCTGAAGCGGCGTTTCGGGTTCTTGACCACACCGCAGAGATCCCGCCACCGCTGCAGCACCTCCTCCGACGAGTGCTTCGGCATAACATCCCATTTATCACTCAAAAAATTCTCCATTTCTTTTTTTTTCTCTACCTTAATTTTCTAAACTAAAAAAATTTCTTTCAAGATTGGTCTCTCTCTAATGGTCAATTAGTGTGGTTAACCACCACTAAGTAAATTTCATTCTTTTATGGGGATAATTAATGGAATCGTGAAGGTGCAAAAGAAGCATACTGATTATATTACACAGAACAAGTTTCATTAATTAGTAGTGTTAATATAATTTGATCCGAATATTTGGTTAGAGAAAGTGTTTAAGGTCCGCAGATAGAAATTGTAGTGATTAGAAGAAGTAACTGAATTAACGGTCTTTCAATTCTTGTCCTAAGGTTCCCTTTTTCGTGGGATGTTTGAACGTATACTACGGGGGTCATAATTAAGTAAAGTTTTTCATACTTGGTTCATTATTATAATTATTATTATTTTTTAATTACATTTTTTTTATTCGACTGTTAAATAACATGTTTTGTTTTTTGTTTAAAGTACTCGTATTTATAGTTTCATTTGAGCTAAGTCCCTCGTGCGCTATTTGAATTATGGTTTGCCAATTAATCTTTACATATCATGCAACTAATTTACAATTGAATCAAGTAACTGATTTTAATTATTTGGTAAATGAGAAAAAAATCGTAAGTCCTATATAATTATAGTTTACATGTACTTGTCAAATTTACATAATTTTAATTTGCAACTAAACACGACTACTTTGTTAATTGCACTCTTCCAATTCGAAACACAAAAAAAAAACAAATGAATTTTGAACAAAATTAATCGAATTGAACGAACCTTTTCTCCACAACTTTTTTTCAGAGAAAACAACTCGCAGCACGTAATGACCTGACAACGACTCAATCGAGTGAATAAATCTCGCAAATAAACTGGTCCCCAGACAAAATTATGTCTCGAGCAAAAAGATATCAATGTAGCACGAAATCACGGACGGTGGTTATGAAAGCATATTGTGAGTGAATATTACATTGTATATAAAAACTTAACAAAGGGGCAATTTAGTCTTCCGGTGTCTAGTCAGGGGTGTCTCACTAATTAAAAGTAAAATTTGGGCGTGAGTAAAAATATTTCAATTCATTTGGGCTCAGTTCATAATATTTACCCAAACCAGGGGTATTGCATATTACCCCATTCTAAATTGACCTGCCTGTGATAGAGTGACCATCACAGCCCCCCTCTCGACCGAATAAAAATCGAGACCCATCAATCACGAATCCCTACCGTCGAATTTCAAATCAACGGCTGAAACTATCCCCTTAAAAAGACCGGTCAATTGCGAAATATTCCCCTACAGTTTGTGTTCACCACGAAAAAAAAAGAAAAAAGAAAAAAGAAAAAGAAAAAGAAAAAGAAAAAAGAAAATAGAAACTCCACCCCTACAGTTTTTCCCTGCATCTCTTTTTCTCTCACTTCCATTTTTCTCCGCACACATTTTCTCGATTCACACACACTTTCTCCAGAACCAGTTTCTCTCTTCGAATTCGCAAGCAAAAATTTCATTACTGCAAAATGAGCAAGGGGCCGGGACTCTTCTCCGATATCGGCAAGAAAGCCAAAGGTAATTATTTATTTTTTGGATCCAGCTATCTTAATTTTCCATGATTATGATTTTATTTGATTGATTTTTTTGTGATGTATTTAATTTTAATTTATAGATCTGCTGACGAAGGACTACCTCTCCGATCACAAATTCTCCGTCTCAACCTACAGTGAATCTGGAGTGGTACAAATTTTTTACATTATTTATTTTCCGTAGTATCGCGAGTTCATTATGTTTGCGTACTTGTATTAGCGTCTCGTATGAATGTATTATGTGATTCTTTCATGATTAGGAATTATCTGTTCTGTTGATTGTGTTCTAGGGTTTCAACTGTCGATTCTGCAGTAGACCACGTGCTCGTATTAAATCGATAAGAATTAAGCCTCAAAATTAGTAACATCCGGAGTTAGTTTAGGATGTTATTCGATAGATGGAAGTAACAGCATTATGGCAACACTGTGTATGCTAAGTTCTAGTTTAGGAATTATCTGTTTTGTTGATTGTGTTTTGGGGTTTTCGACTTTCGATTCTGCAGTAGATCACGTGCTCGTATTAAATCGATAAGAATTAAGCTCAAAATTAGTAACAATCGGAGTTAGTTTAGGATGTTATTCGATATATGGAAGTAACAGCACTATGGGAACACTGTGTATGCTAAGTTCTAGTTTCTTAAATAAACGGGTGTTATAAATCTCCGATCTCTCCCCGCAATGAGAGAGTTTAGAGTTTGGATTGCAGAATCTTCCTTCTCATTTTGTTAATTTCTGAATAAGGTACTGATTTTCCTGTATGACGCATCCTTTTATTTTCGGCTTTTTGTTAGTTCTCTTATTTTCGACAAGCTCTAGCGGTTCTCTTTTGTTCTCGTTTGTTTGGATGAATAAAGAGAACTTACATTCTCATTTATAATGTACCACTGATATTTATTAGTCGAATCCAACATATATTGGAATGTTGACTTGTTTAGTTGAAAGTGCTGACAGTCTGTGATCAGGCGCTAGATTTTGTGATTTTTTCGCTCATTAGTACTTTACAGAATTTATTCGTGATATTAGTGCCTCTGCTATAGTTGGGATTATGGGAGAAGGGCATGTAATTTTAATTTTTTTTAATTTTTTTTTTCATGTTTTACCGATTGAATTTCTCCATAAATATTCTGATGCCTATTTCGTATTTCTTTTTAGTTGAATTTCAATGTTGGATAGGTGAAATGACTTTATGGTTTCTATATTTGCATAGGCTTGTCCAAAATGATATTCGTTAGGTTTAAAAAGAGGTCACTAACTCAGATTCTTTTGCCCAATTCTATTGGCGGATCGTGTGCCAATGTCTATTTTAAGTATTTAAATGGGGGATCGGTAACATACAGCGTATTATAGTCTAGATTCTCTGGGAAGTAAAGAATCTGTATTAATTGTTGTTAAGTTGTGCAAAGCCTCCAAATAATGAATGCGGTACATAGCTACTTGAATTCTTGTAACCCGGCGAGAACACATATGGACCTTTGTATCGGTTCTATCCTTTTTTATAAGGTTTGTCAACGCTAACTCTTTATGACTTACGTAAGTAAATTGTTAGCATGGTGTTCTAATTTTGTGGCGTTTCTGATTTACTATAGTAACTTTGCTTTCAAAATCATAAAGAGTAGATTGTGATTCAAACTTTTATGACAGCACCTTAACGATAGAAAACTTTTAGTTTAGATTTTCTTCATTGCTTAGAATTCGTAATATATCTGGTTGACTGACTGGTCCCGACTACCAACTACTGAGAGTTCTGTTGACTGACTGGTCCCGACTGCCAACTACTGAGAGTTCTATAGTGTAACTTAACAAAGGTTTATCCTTCGATTGTGTTCGGCGACATTGAATTTGCCTTTTCTATTATCACTAATTGTGGGGAACCACGTTTATTTATTTATTTATGGGTATTCAGTTTTCTAATGTGGCTATGTTTGTTACTCTTTTGAATGGATTACTTTATAAACCATGCATACTAGTGACGTTAAGGCAACAACCTAAACTGGGTTTATTGCTCTTACATTTTCCTTAATTTTTACGTTGGATTTCATGTTGCATTCACATTGTGAATCTCTCTTTTCCATTTGACTACTCTGGGGGTTGTACGACAATTTTACGACCAATTTTTACTTGCTGTAGGCCTTGACTACATCCACGGTGAAAAAAGCAGGCTATTCATCTGGAGATGTGGCAGCTCAGTACATATATAAGAATACTTCTGCTGATCTAAAAGTTGACACCGAAAATA